TCGTGGTTCGGCATGGTTGATATCTTCCAATGCGGCTGCAGGGTCCGAAGGGGCGAATTCTTTCTCGTGACCAGGCGGATCTGCCATGTTGAAGCTTCTTGGTAACAGATGCGTCAAGAGGGTATATTGTTATGTGAGAGATCACAAATCAAATCGCAAAACAAAATGTTATCGAGGGGAAGCCGTGCATCTTATCAATTATTCGGTCGCCGCCTCCGAATGCGATCAGAGGTTAGCATCTTTCCAATTGGATCTAGACAAGGATACGATAGGTAATCAGTGCAAATTAACATGGGCAAAAGACGTATGGGAGTACCAGTGGCATGTTTTTTTCCCCCTTCCAGAGTACTAGCGTAATAGATCCATCCATCTATACCCGGATTACCAATACACACACAGCATGCATTTCAAAGGAACCGAAGGAACCTACTCCGGGACCGTAGGTGGAGCTGAGTGAACCAATCGGTGTTTATGAATACCGAGATAATACCCGAGTATGTAGATTCATTGGACAATTCTTCGATAATTGATGTGAGTGTAAGCAATTAGTCATATACATGATGATATACGAGTATATGATGGATACATGATATACATGATATACATGATAAGTTATATTTTCTTTTAATCTTGTCGAGGAGAGTCGGCCTCGAAAGCTCAAGCGAGACGGTCGAAACCCCAAACACAATCTTTCACTTCCGTAGATCAGTCAAGGGAGGATCATTATGGTATTCTGTCTGTCTATCTGTGTTGCCGAAAAGTATACGAAACCTTATAGCTAGTAGGTGATAGGAGGGGCTCCACACAAAAGAAGCATTCTTCCAGCTCCATCAAGATCCACCCGCCGTTTAACCTTAGAAAAAGCTAATCCGATGGCGTTCCACTGTTACCTACGGGATTCAGCTAATTGAGTTTATTTCGTGGAATTTTTGATTAAACCTTCCGTTCCCTTCGAAGTCCAAAGTCAAAACGCATTCGATCTTGATCAATCATCAAATACGAAGTGCCGTGCAGTCAGGTTGGTGAACGGGAGCAAACACGCCGCTCCAAATCTCACCTATGCCGCATTGGTGATCTTCAATATAAGCATTTCTCTAGCATTTCCTCGTGGAAAACTCTAACCTAAAGTGGCTCGAGTGGCTGGATGCATCCGCTCTGTTTGATATACACCTTTGCTTACTCGACGCCTCTTCAAACCGGACAACTGACAAGACCGTTCTTTCCCCAGATTATCAATATCGGGCATCGGGACCTCAAATCTCCATCACAAGTGCCTAGATCAGCCAAGCATCTTCAGTGCATTGCAATTCAATCCCATAACCAGCTATTTCCAATACCTGATTCATGGATTTTCATCGTTACGCTGTATGACCCGTTGATTTCCTTCATCTGACAGTTTAAGATACACAACTTGTCGTATCCAGTGAAACGAAAGAGGAAAAGAAGTTAGTGTACAGTATCACGTGATAGACACGGTCCGGAACTTATCTTCTCTCCTTCTTCACCTTCCTAACTCGGAGATCAAAAGATTAACCATTCATAATCGCAGTAATTAATAATCCTCTTTCATACAAGAAGCGGTGAATATCGTTGATTCGGATGGATTTAAGATATCTCCTTAGAACACCCCGCTTGTACATCTTCGTCTCTTCTCCGTCCAATCAACAAAGAGCTTGTTTGCTTTTCATACCAGATTGTACGTGTCCAGATGTTTGATACATCGGGAGAGTAGTTCGTGGTCTCAAATGTTCTTTCATGACAGATGTTGATGGCACCACTCCGTTAAAAATGATCACTGCAAGGATATTGTTTGTCATGTCCAGCGGGCGGGCGCCGTATGTGTACCCAAGAGAGTAACCATCACGTCTCCTCCACAAGTGGAGGGAGTCCAATCATGTTTTGAGTAGATTGTCCTGGCATCCAATTCAACATTGCACGAGATAAGCTTTGCGGGATTCATCTTATCTAATGTGTTTGTCTATTGACCAATTTAGCTACCTAGTGATTTATTCAACGATCTTTTGCCTGCTACAACTCTAAGCTGATAACTTAAGAGATCGTTCAAAACACTTCCCGCTTCAAATCAATCTAACAAACATCAACGTTTCAATCTAATCATCATTCAAGCCCAAAGCCTCTCTTCTAGACTTTGCTCCCTCTTCATAGTAAGGCTTTTCTGCCAAACTAGTAACTCTCGTCCCATGTCTCTCTTCGGTTCCCTCATAGTCCCAGCTCGCGTTATGGATTGTACTTCTGTTATCCTGTTCAAAAGTATTAGCAACTATTCGCTTATTCCCCTTCATCTTCAATGTCGATTCCAGTTGGAATAAGACCAAAGAGTCCTAAGAAAGAACTTACCCAAATAGCACTCGTCCCAGCAGTCCATCTGAATCTGACTTGAATATCCACATTCTTTTCAAAAACATCGTACAAATACCCTAAAATCAAATCACTCTCCGCCTTGTCCAATCCGACAATTGATTTCGTCATTGCCCTGTTCACCCACAATGTTTTCCATCCTGTCACTGGATGTACACGCACAATAGGGTGCACTCGTTCAATATGTTTTGGTCCAGCAGTCGGATCATCTCGATCGAGGTATGTATGCGACGAAACATATATGGCCTGTCTCCCATCAATGATTTTGCGGAATTCAGGAGAAAGTTTACTGTAAGCTGCATATCCCGATGCCCAAAGTGTGTCGCCTCCGACTTCTGGAACGGTGTCATTGTGTAAATGGGTTATTCCTGCGGGATGAAGCTCGTGCACCAAATCTCTTTATAATTTTCATGTCAGTGATTTGTCTTGGCGATCGCCTCGAGTGAGTCAAGAGAAGAATGAAGAAACTTACGAATGCCATCGACTCGCACCTCCTGGATTTCTGAAATCAGTTTTTCTCGAGGTTTCGCTGGCTTGCAAGGCAGGCCACATCACCGTCACACCAGGAAGTCCTGGTACATGGGGAACTTGCGGCTATACATCGAATCATCAGCACACGTCCTATCTCGATTCTCACCCTCACAAACAAAAACATAAAACAAACATACATGAACCTCAACTTCACCCCACCAAGTTCCCAAATCTCTTTGTACTTTTGGACTCAATCCTTCTTGACCCCTCAAAAAGACCACGCTTCTCTCTGCAACCAACAACGCCAATTCATCTTTCTGCGCATCCGTTAACTCATCGAGACGAATGCCACTTATTTCAGTTCCGATATTCTTGGTTAAATCAACTATCTTTCCGTTATTCTTGTGGATAGCATCAAATAGATTTTTCTTCGATTTATCGGCCCGGGATCCGGCATCGTGGTGCTCTCGTGGGGTGTTGCGAATGGCGAGGACGTCTTGGACTATTGCGGAGGGGAAGATTAGTTGAGTTCATTATTCTACATGGTGGGTGAAGATAAAGGATGAACACATACGATATAAAGGACGACCTGGACGAGTCGGGTATCCGTCTGAGAGATCGATTCCGGATTTTTCTAATCTTGCTCGTGCGTTTGAGGGAAGAGGTAAGGTGGCTTTGGAAGGAGGAGCAAGATCTTTGATCGCGCTTGAGGGGTGAATGGCAAGATCTTGGGTTGCTGATGGAGCCATGGTTTGTATTTCTCAAAAGAAGAAGATATATCAATTTATATACTATTCACAAGAATATCTGATACTCATGAGGGACACCCAAATTATATATGCACAGCGGATTCCGGAATCTTCAACCCAGTACGATATAAATACATCTAACATCATCAATACCCAGACATTGTGTCATCAACTCTCATCATTCATTTCGTTGTTTCAAAATGTTTATCAAAATCACATCATCTATCCCAGAGCCATCTCACCAATCTCCATCGCATATTGTCCACCCCTCATGCAGCACGCGATTTACCCCGCATGTTTGTCTATATGAAATGTGTTTCGAAGACTTTTTATAGGTTGTGAGGTTTGGTTATCGTGAGTGTTGTGGAGTTATCGTATATATGATTGGAAATGCATAGTGCGAGGGACGCAACGGAAATGCGATTATTGGAAATCAGATTGAGAGGATTGAGATGGATGGGAGGGGAGGGGAGGGGAGGGGATGGGATGGGATTACTTCGGGGAAGGTTTTAACCCTACATTGTCACTATTCTTTCAACACACAAATGAAAAGAATCTCAAACTTTGTAAAAAGGGCTTCTTGATGTTAAGTTGCGTAGGTATGGACTTTAAGTGGGATTTTACGATATTGTTACATCCATCGGCGCTCAATAATATTGGAGATGGAAAATGTCACATTTGTGGGTTGGATAGTCAGGACAGTGAAGTCTTTCAAGCATATTCGAAACTTTTTTATGCATTTATTGGAGCTGTTTTGTTATTCCAAGTGGACCTTCTGACTATTTTGATATTTATACATCTGTCATGCGAGGGATTTAATAAACTAGACTCCAAAATCAAAAATACCTAGCTCTGAGTGAGGCCTCCTGTTCAGTGAACAAATTCAATTTTTGTCGTTGGAAAGATCTCCTTGTGTTCAAAAAAAGATGGTAATCTAAGAACAAACTGTTAGATGTCCTTCAGGTTCTGTTGTCAAGAATCCAGTAACGTGTTTCAATATCCTAATTTAAATTTGACGGGTGAACACCTTTTGAAGCTCGCGTTTTGGTGTAAGCTTTATTCTTCATCGTTTATCGATGTCTTCACCGTCAAGGAAAGAGCTATAATTATAGTCTCATAAAATTCGAGAAAAGGAAAGTGTGAAATGTGAAGCAGAATGGCAACCATGATGCATCAGTCTTCAACTTGGAAAGTGCAGACGATTACGCTCCTCACCACTTTTATATCTCTAGATTTTACATTTTCTTCACCTAAAATACTGTCTTTTCACAATCTTTTGGTCATACTCTTATTCAAAATATCTTACATTCTTTAGTCTAGCTTAAGAGCGTCAGAAACAACATTCTTACATTCATAACATTTAGAAATATCTGAATTCAAACCACCTTCCTAAATTTTGATATGGCTGACAGCATTCAAACTTCCGCGCAACAAGCACTACCTCTGACTCCAATCGTAATGTCTCAAACACGTCGTCAAATGGTATCTGATAACAGTCTTCGAATTCCCAAGGTTGTAGCAGCCTTGCGAAAATGGGAAATGGATGATGAAGACGAAGGAGAGACTTGTCCCATCTGCTTTGAGAGCTGTGCGGGAATTCCATCTTTACAGACAGATACACAATCATGCTAACGAGTTTCTTCAGTCAAAAAAGTCAAAATTGATGCAGATGTGAATGATTCTTGTTCCGATCCCTTGGAATTGAATGGCGGACATGGAGGTTCCATAGTCGTCACGCCTTGCAATCATAAATTTGGGTATATCTGTTTGGGAAATTGGCTTGTTCAGAAGGATAGTTGTCCTATGTGCCGTAGTACCATTCTTCCCCTCGATCCGCCACAATCGGCTCATGGCGCTCAACAAAGACAGCGTTCTTACTCCACCGAGCCGCAGACTACTCCCGCAGATATGCAACTTATGGCATCTACTCGTCCCATAGCTCGATCAACTTCTCATAACAGTATTCCAGTCACCACTCCATTCGAACTACAAAGATGGAATGCTAGATTTGGTCCATTGAACAATCACTTGGAAGAGGCTGGGAATTTAGTGGCCGGGGAAACCACTCAGCCTAATGTTCATCTATCTCCTGTTAGACCTAGTACTACTACACATGGCCATCCAGCTACACCTACTTCTACTATAGTTGAGCCAGAATTTACACGCCGCACTTATAATGCCAATATTACAACTTACGACTTAACACATCGACCCAGAGAAAATCAAACTTCGCACCTAACTCGACCATCAATTGATCCTCCATGGCGCAACTGGGATTATACTAGTCGTTACAGTTTAAGAGGGGATAGAAGACAGAGAAGAATTATTAGCTCTGTAGCTGCAGCGGTAGGAGTATCCGCAGGCCTGGGATCTGTGATTGGAATGCCAAGAGCAGAAATGAGAGAGCCAACAGGTAGAGATAACAACGCTGCAAGCAGAACGGAGTCGGATGATGATTATTCGATTGTTAGAGCAATGGGTCACACTATGGGTTTGGGAACAGTAGTTGGAATGCCAAGAGCGGAGTGGAGAAGTACCATGAGACCACTGTCACCATGGGGTGATACGAGCAGACCACGGTTGTCGAGAAGTGAATCGGCAAATGATAGTAGTACCGAGACTTTACCTACGACAAGAAGTAGAGAAACGAGTGTGGATGAGGATTTGCGAAGATTGCCGGGGTTGTCGAGTAGCATGTGGGCTCGTACTTGGGGATGAGGTTGGAATGGGTTTGGATTTTCTTGTGTTATATCGACGCGATAAGCGGGCTTGGAATTGTATGTGTTGAGGATACGTTGTTTGCAGCATGTAGGAGTAGGATCATTGGAATCTTTAGCGAGCGTTTCTTGGGGTTGTATCCCTAGATCGGATTATCAGAGTTCTAGATTAGACTCGATGTTAAAGCGTTTAAATATATGTACAATGAATAAATGATTTTGTGAGTTGTAACCAATAAATGCCCCAGGCATTATGGTGTTGAACTTCCAGTATCACAATCAATCTCACATCCAAACCTTAATATTGTTTGAGGATCTTACATCCACCTCTTCGTCCACACGCTTAAACATAAGCCACAGTAACGCTGTCCTCAGTAACCGACGAACTCGTCAAGATCTCATTCGAAGTCGTCTCAATATCCATGATGTTCGCACCGGTGGGACCCACCTGTTTTCCCTCCTTAGTAGTCGCATACGCGTTACTAAACGTCACATTTCCATAATTTGCCAATCCGATGGTCGACCCATCGATGCTCAAATCCTCCATAATCCACTCGGCAGCCTGACCACACAATTGATCCGTCGAGGTCACAGTCTTGGTCTCTGATTTCCCCGTCGATTTGTTTTCCATGGTGACGGTTCCCTCTGTAAACGAAGAGTAGGTCAGATTCACCGCGATGGTATCACCCGCCGTGACGCTGAGCGCAAACCCGAGAGTGTTGGCGGGGTACCATTCGTACCAGGCGTCGTAGGAAAGTTTCCCGGAGCTATCGATCGAGGCGTCGACGCCCGCTTGCCAGAGCCCCGCACACTCGCTGCTCTGCTCGTACCCGTCGATACCGACCCAGGAGGAGACGGTCCAGATTTCCGCGGAGGTCTCGCCTCGTGTGGGTTTTTGGGGGATCGGAACTACAAATTCCGTGTATACTCCGGTGTAGATTGTGGAGCCGCCGTCGTCGAGAACGGCGCCGGCCCAGGAGACGTTGTATTCGTCGTCGGCGTGCGCGGTGGCGGCGGAGGTGGAGGCAGATGTTGTGGAGGAACTGGCAATGTTGATGACGGCAGGTGAGGCGGTTGAAGTAGCGGCGCTGGATGCAATAGGTGTTGCAACGAGCGAAGGTGCTACAGCACCAGTGGATTGTCTGGAGCCGGGAGCACCGTAGCTACCGGTGGGTCTTGCTCGACCACCTTGTTGGTCTCCAAATCCTCCTGGGTAATTAGCGCTGGGTTGGGCAAATCCTCCTGCTTTTTGACTCTTTTGGAGGGTGTGGCCGCGGTGACGGCGTGCTTGATTGGGACGGGAGGGAGCGGCGAGGGAGGAAGCGATGAGGCCGCTAAGGGCAATTGTGGTTGTGAATTTCATTTTGTTTGGTAAAGAGTGAACTGTGTACGAATGGAAAGAAGTTGATCAAAATTCTGATAGACAAATATGCAAAAGAGAGAGAGACTGTAGGTGGATATGAAAGCGAGCAAAAACAAATCAATGAATGAATGAATGTAAAGATAAACTGTACTCAAAAACGAATGAATGCAAACCTGTGCAAATATTTCCAAAACTATTCGGACAAGAAGATGGGAAGAACTCTTCCTCATATATAGATACTTCCACACGCAATCAATCCGTCGTATCGACATCAACCCGGTGGATTATTTCCACAGCCCTGTCGACTCCAAACAAAAACAAACGATGATCCCATCATTCCCGACATTCTCCTCCCAGCAGCATGCCCGCCAAAGATTCGCAAAGCTCTATTAACACCGAGGGAATGATCCTGGAATCCGTTTCCTGGGGTAAGGTAATGCTTATTTCACATAAATTGTTTCCATGTTTCAGGATCCTGAAGGGGATATTTATGGGGCCGGTACTACGTTATGGGTTCATGCTAATTCTCCACTCTCGGGCAGAGAACAAAAGGCTTGATTTGTTTTTATATGGCGTGCTGGTAGGGAGGTATGGGTAGGTAGGGGTGATGGTGATGGTGCCGAGGAATTAGGAGATTTACGACGTGTGATGTGGTGTGGGAGGATTGAGGGAGGAATCTGCTGGATATTCGTAGATTGTCTTGCAATTGGTGTTATCGTTATTTATGAATGCTTGGATCTGGGTTCTATTCCGAGTAATATATCTGATCTTAAGATTCCTATAAAGAAAGAACACCTGCCATTTTCTACAACGGAATCAATATCATCAGTTCCAATATAAAAAGGTATAGATCGAATCATATACAGTACTAGGCATTAAGTTTGCGCGAAAGGCCTTTTTCCACCAAAACTCACTTTCTTTAAAATATAATTAAAAATCAATCTCTAGTTTCAATAAAATCAAAATTCAGAAATTAGTAAAAATTCATTAAAATATTAATAAAAAATGAATAAATTATTTTTATTGATTTTGATTTTAATTAAAAAAGATTTTGAATTTGAAATCTCTTAAAAACTTGTTAAATTCGCTTAATTTTGATATAGAAATTAATTCCCAAAAAATATTCAATTTCAATCTTATATATTATATTAAATGAAGAATACATAATTATGAAATTATTATATAATTAAATTCGATTGATTCTGATTCTATAAATATGAAATTTATTAAAAAATACTTAGTATATAAAGATTAGTATTTAATTGAAATTAAGATATTGATATTCTCACTTTCTAATATAATTGAATATAATCTCATTCGAAAATGATTTAATAAAATAATTCTTTTTGTATTATATAATTTAATTAATTTTTTATAGAAAATCAAAATCTAAAAGGAATATATTCAAGAATTGATTTATAATTATTTATTGAAATGATTGAGTTTATTCGAAGAATCAATTCGCGCGAACTTAGCTGAGGTTGCTGTATATCACCTGATCCAATTCATTTGGATGAACATCGCCACAACGGAAACCCCGAATGCTATTAAAGTAAGGTTAGGAGTGTGGGTTCTAGATCATATCATGTCCATCCATCCACTCGCAGAAACAATTCATTCTGATTTGATTAATGATTTGAACACGAGCGTTTCGAATTAGATAATGATTGATAATGAGCTTTATTATATTGATAACCGTAGATGTGATTACAAGTACCGACGAGTTTATATTCCATGTACGGACATTTCGGATATTTTTGTATATAACGGTCTCATTTGGATTTTGCACATCGAAATTTCTATTCTGGGTTGATGTACAAAGTACTCTGTAAGTATATCAAGCACTACAAGACCCATTTTGCAATTTCGTATTCTGGAGCACAATCTTCTGGACCAGATTTAGAAGTCTATGTATGATATTTGTTTTGCACGTTGCGAATGCTTCGGAACATTCTTATACGTTCAATCATACGCAGCCCGAACAAAATGAAAATCGTGACAAAAGATTCTGCCTTTGGAATTAGTAGCATTAACTTTAGTGTACACTCACCCTCTTTAACATCCTCTATAGGTCTAATCCAAAAGTCGAGCCTTTTCTGTTCGCATCTATGCCTTTAGTTCTTTTGCGAGAGCCGTTCGTTCATCCTTCGTGAAACCAATCGTCGTCAAATAATCCCCAACACCACCATAAGTGTTCTCCAGATACTCATAGATCTTCTCGATGAAATCCACAGGACATCCAGCAAAATCATCACTCAGACCAATCTCATGGATTTCCTTCAATCGACTCTCTCTTTCAGGAAGTAATTTCTCTTCACTCATGAGATAATCATGTGATATGGCTTCTATGGGTACCTCGAGGATGAATAGGATCAAGGCGATGGTAAGTCCAGTGCGGTCCTTTCCTTGGGTACAATGGGCAAGAATTGGATAATTTTCCGGAGAGCAGTAAGTCCTGAGAACCTGGGATATGTTAGATGTGTTGTTTCATAAAAGGCTGATGATGGTTTACTGAAGCAATTTCTGGACCACAATGATGTATCGTATCGTATCCCAATCCTATAAGTCCTCTGGGTTGCAAAACCTGTCGCCCTAGAATCCCGATGGCCTCCAAGCGGTATCCCAAACCCATCAGTCCGATCAGTTTTCTATGTGCCATGGTCAGCTCGCAGAATCAGAAAAGACTACCTAGTGGTTAAAGCTTACATGATACTATAAGGCGATAATTGCCATACTAAACTCCTCTCAAACCCTTTCCCATTCACATTGATCTCGAGATACTTGATTCCTGGTATCTTCACCGATTCATTTAATGCACTGTTTGACTCTGTGAGAACAGGGTCTCTCATATCTGCTACTCGCTTCTTCGCTTGCTTATCATGTTCTGTTCTGTGATACTTCTGGTTAGATGGGATAGATAATTGATAGCTAGATGTCTTACACTGTTCGCAGGTCTAATATGGTTTTGATACCATAATAATCTTTAATCCGCTGCCTGTCTGCCATCGTAGCATCATCTACCAGGTAAATTCGTTAACAAAATCAGTCTTGGCCAGCATTCATCACTCTGGATTGGCCGATGTCCTGGATATGGCATGAATGACCTCACAGCCTGGCGAGTATGTACACACCTGGCCTTGCAGAGCGATATATTCGTCCTTCTTTAATAAGTCTGAAGGTAAAAAATCAGTCCCAATCTGCTGATGGTCTTAATGAGGTAGGTACATACTTTCGCCCCAAGAAATCGTTGATGGTTTTACCAACATCACGAAAATTCAGAATGTTATTAAACTGCCCATCATACATATTTTTTGGTTGTGAGCCCATTGTCAACTTTGGTGGACCGTTAGAGTGTGGAGCACCACGTGGGATACAACAATGTTATGGTTGATGGTAAGATCTGCCCAGGTGAATGATGAAAAACCAAAGAGGAAAGAAGGTATCGTATTTGGTACTGTACTCTCGAACAGGTCGTTACTTCTGATACTTTTAGATGGAACCAGGGAAAAGGGTAAAATTGTGAAATAGAGATAATGCAAAAGGTTCGGTTTCGTTGGAGAAGGTTCTTCAATTGACAGGTGAGATTCTTGGAATGAATGTTGTATGATTGATGTCGTCGTGTATAAAGATGCGAAATGAATACAATCACCCTGGGATTGATGAGGTTATCACATCAAGCGACAACGACATCATAAAACAAGGAAACGATGTGAAAGATTATGTGCGTCGGTGTGGTCGGTACTAGTAATCTTACTTGCAATTTAAATCCCTGCTGGAGATCACGAAAGAGATCATCAATAAAAAAGAGGGAGATACCATCATTCTGCATCATCTCTGGGGAAATACGATGAATCAATGCCATAACCCCAGTTGTACGTACATCAACATCAATATAAGACATTCACATATCACATATATCTCTACCTGCTTTCCTGGATGGATTCCTTTATGGTTCATGATGCTTTATCGAAAATCCTTTCTTATCGGAGCAGCGACGGCAAGGCAGGGCAGGTTCAACCTAAGGTTACCTATCCTCCACCCAGATTGCGATGAACAGTCTGGGCACTCGAATTGATTATGCTGACCTATCGGCATTCACTCTCACTTAAGTTTTGGTGTGGCTGAACGCAAAACTACGTCATGCAAGGTTCGTTCAAGACTTCCCTTTTCTTGAGATTCGAGAAGAGCTTGATTTCTTGCTTGCTTGCTTGCTTGCTTGCTTGATTGCTTGATTGACCGATGATTAAGAGAACTCAGCTACCACTGCTATCTGAATCCTGAAAACCGAACAATCATAAGAGATGATGAAAAAACTAGACGATACTCAGTTAGATACGATATTATAGTACACGGAATAAAGCGATCAGAGCCATACCGGTATTGTGCCAAAAATTCTACCTGCCGGTATACTAAGTGTCCAAGTTTATCGCATGTGTCACTAGCAAGCTCGTCCTAGCTATCGTCGTCCAACTTCACGTCAAGAAGCGACAGAAACGACAGAAACGACAGAAACAAGATATACATCCGTCAACATTGATGAATTCCGTTTCGATTCGTTTCATCCTTTATTCAACCCTTCGCAGCGAATTTGTTTGAGCTGAATGTCATAACGGGAAGCCAGTATCGTTTCTGTCAGCTTGCATTCCTAGTAACAAATCATACCTGCCAGGAGAACAAAGAAGAAGGGGGGAGATTGTGTAATCATGTCGACCAACAAGAATCATGGTGCGTAAAAGTAGTCTTTGATTCCTTATCTGCATGTATACTAATCTGTGCGACAGCTACAGGCATTGAAACCAATGGAGTATCAATAGAAAGCAAATCGCACCCAACTCGAACTACCTCCAACAAATTAGAAGATCAAGCTGCCACAGCAGCTCTCTACGTGACAAATCAGAATAATCAAACGCCCAAAACGGGCTATGAATTTCTGGACAGTGACAATAAATTGTCGTCTGCTGGTAATTATTTGATTCCACTTTACACAATATGAGAGCATCGCTAACAGTTTTTCCAAACAGGTGCAGCAGCATCTCTCAAATACGCGAAGCCCCGAGATTTACCAAGTTACCCCTCCGTCGGATTGAACAAGAGTCAGTCGGCAGCTGGAGCAGCAGCATCTTTAGGTTGGCAGAACCAAAAGACTTTCGAACATTGGAAGCCAGATCCCTCCGCTGCGGCCTCGGCTGCTGCGATGTTAGCCAAGGATTACAAAATGAAGCCCATGTGGCAGCCAGAATCAAGTGCACATGGCGCAAAAGCGGCTTTGTTGGCTCATAAAGCCAATAAGGGTGTCGACTTGTGGCAGCCGGAGCCTACAGCATGGGGGAACACTGCCGCAACTCAAGCTATGAAGAAGGGGAACACATTATCACCGCAATTGGATTATGGACACACTGCTGTTGGAAGACAGGGTTCCCTGTTGGCTGCGACTGGTGCTATGGCTAGGAGCAGGAAACGCGCAAATTCGACACCTGTGAAGACTCAAAAACTTGAAACCTATCCCGACGAAGCCAATGCTGCCAGTAATGCTTTGAAAGCCGCGAAGTCTGTTCACAAATCTCAGACTAATACTGCGAAACCTACCTATTCTGCCGAAACCTATCCGGATGAAGCCAATGCTGCAAGCAATGCTTTGAGAGCTGCAAAGTCTGTTCACAAATCTCAAATTGGTGCTGGAAAAGCTACCCATCCTGGTCAAACAAATACGCCCAGTAATGCCATGAAAGCTGCAGTCGCTGTTCATAGATCCAACACTGTTCGAAAACCTAATACATTCGAAAAGAGTGTTGGATCAGTACCATTCACAACAATGCCGCGAGAAATGTATACGTCTCAGCCGCCTGTCGACCAATTTGAACCGGAGGTGCCCAAAGACCAAAATCGTGAAGATGTCCTCAAAGCTTCAGCAATTGCTATGGCCAAAAAAATGTACAACCAACAGCAGAAACAAAGTGCTGCTACTTCCAATGCGCAATCTGGTGCAGCTGCAGCACACGGCCAGCGAAGGCTTTCTATAGATAGCGATGATGAACCTACACCTATGCGTTTTGATAATCTCCAAGCAAGAGCACAGCAGCTCACCAATGAGTCAGTGGCGAGAATGACAACCGAAGATATTAGAAATCGTGAATATCGAGATTATTATGGAGCTACCCCAAGTATATCTTCGAAGTTATCTAAGCGAGGTCGAACAAGACGTCGGGCTTCCAGTTATGATGAGGATCGCCATCAGTCTGACAAAATCCGAGCTCAGATGAATTTATTCTCAAGCAATATCTCTAAAGTAGACGAAGAAAAGCGACAACGAGATCGCGATGCTCTACATGCTGCAGCTAAGCGCAATGTTAATAAAGACATTCACGAGATGGATAAACAAGTATTTAAAAATACTGGCAAAGTTGCTCCATCTCTACTCAACGAATGGGAGTTAAAAGCACATGAAGCTGCTCAAGCCCAGAGTAAAGCTAGAATGGAGAATTTTGGCAAAGTCGATATTGGTGGTGGAAAATTTGTCGATCAAAGTGTGATTGATGCTGCTGCCGCTAAAATAATCCAGCCACAATTGGAGGAAATCAACACAAAGGCAGAAGCTAAGAGGTTTCGAGAGGCTGAGTTGAAACTCGAGGAAGAGGCTCGAAAGAGAAAATCGCAAGAGATTAAAATGAGAGAGAAAGAGGAGAAAGAAATTACCAAGAAATTGAAGCGTAAGTTGTTCTTGTTTCAAAAAACCGGTGTATTAACATAAACTAATATATATTGTAGAACAAGAAAAAGACGAAGAGAAGGAGCGTAAAGCTGATGAGAAGGCTGCTCTCAAGGAACGTCGTAAATCAACCACCAAATCCGAACCAGGTGCTCCAGTTTCAAAAACCTCACCTACCACCGTACCTGGCGAATCTGAACGCCCCACTACGGCTCCAGCTCCTGTACCTACCCGTACTTCTATAGATGGAAATAGCGTTCATGTATCTGGAGCTACAGATGATGCACACCCAAGTCAACAAGTTTCATCTAATACCCCATCACCAACCTCTGAGAGTGGTTCCAAGGTGAAGAACTGGCTTAAGTCTAAAATGGGAAGGATATCTGGTCGTCACTCGAAATCCTTATCAGAATCTAATGCTACTAAAGATGAGAAAGGATTTATGGGTGGTCATACCTACACAGGTGCAAGTGTTAATAATAGTACGACCTCTCTTAGTCGACAAAGTATAAAGGACGTTGCAAATGCCACCGCTCTTGTCCCCGGAGCCAACCCCACTGTTGCTCCTACTCAACAACCAGAAGAATTTGAAAGAGTAGGCAGAAGTAGAACAAGAGCGGGAGATGACGTGAGTAGCCTTAGCGAATTCAGTGACAAAGCAAAGGGCAGAGAAGACAATTTAAGTGGCGACGATGATGATGACTTTCAGGAGGCAAGGGATAACTTTAATGACGAGTTGGCGCCGCCTAGACCATTCTCATCTCATGGAGCAGTCAGCACAAGTCCGGGCAGAGCTCCCAGATTTCATGAGGAGATCTAAATAGAGAGTTTTATCATTATTTATATAATTTCGGGTGGGCTATGGGAAATGGGTTCGGAACTTTTGATTCTCGGGATATGGGATTTTGCAACAAGGTTCTTTCTTTCTTTGATTTTTCTTTCCAAGTTGATACGCTATTTGAAAACTGGGATGATCTTATGATATTTCGTCCGCCCACGCGAGATAATGGAGGGAAGGCAGATAGGCATAGGAAAGAAAAGCAATATGGCTTACTTAATAACCGTTTTGTTTTTTGTTTGGGTTTTGGGTCAGATTGCTTGGGTTTGTACAGTACATATGCGGACTAAAATATGGAAATTGGGAGCAGTGACATGATTGGAATGGAGATAGGGATGAGAAAAGGGTGGCCAAAAAGGGGGGCGGAGGAATATCTGTAGTTAATCAGTGGGATTTTATCATTAATGAAGTTTGTTAATCCGAAGATTTTCTCATGCAGTGGAATTTGATGGATTGGAAAGTCGACATGATGTATTTGCGTTGTTACGAAAATCGCCTCTTAATATAGAAGGGGTAGGAATAGCTTAATCTGCAAGTAAATGATTGCATACAAGGTGGATGCTCGGTCATCTTTACTAGATATCGCAAAAGCTGATTTACTTGTCTTGTGCAGTACCTTCTTATTTCGTTCACGGACATGCTCATGGAACAACGTTGCTGGTAAAGACCTCGATAGACGGGACGGGTCGAAAGATGCAAACAACGGCCCATGGCCAGCGGCAGGCTCTCATCTCAGTAAGGGATGCCTGCTTGTTTACGGCACTCCGGTGGTTTGTCTGGATGTTCTTCATGTAAAGCTTTATTCCATGATTTACGGATCATGGTATAGATAGGCTTAACTATTCTTGTGGGAGGATATCTATTTACCGCAAGATTCGTGGTAAGATACATACTCCCGTTTTCCTCGGTGTAATTTTCGGATGGAGAAGTGTGTTTGTGGGATTTGCAGCGATGGGTATCGATTCATTACAGAGATAACTTCTTTTCGCTAATCAAGAATGTGTCGTGATATTTTTCGGCGCTTGATTGTTCTTCTTACATTATACAATACAATACAATACAATACAATACAATACAATACAATACAATACAATACAATACAATACAATACAATACAATACAATACAATACAATACAATACAATACAATACAATACAATATGGAAACCCATCTTCGACACAGTTTATGTTTTTCCAGACTCCCAGATAACTCGAAGGCTAGAATTAAATTGTATAGCATTTCGGCATCTCGATAATCACACTTTTCATATTCCTGCTGAATATTTGGTCGTTTGTAGCGTACAAGTCTTGCAATCGTGCTAGCTTCATTGAGGGAGTAGCTCTTTGGTATGGCGGCCGGAAAGATCGAGCTTTTGGGTGATTCTGGGCAAGAAACGTTGTTTCTGTATCGATCCTGAAATATAACTGATGGCAGATATAGCTTTTTTACCGATGTAGTGAGTATTGGTGTTTGATTGCCTTAATCTCGAGATTCGTATGTCTACTTGATGATAAGTGTAGGCTTGATACATCAAACACTCAAGTGCTCGATTCAGGCACCAGAGCATTCTTCTTCGTTTTCGGCCGGATATTTTCGTAAGATATTAGGATGCTTTTTGAAAACATCATGAGCAATGCAGAAAACGCAGCTGGAAGAAATTGAGAATGAGCTGATGCGAATTAAAATCAGAAGATGTTGTGAGAATTTATAATGTATTTGCGGACAAGGAACTGGAGGACTAGGTATGCAATAATGATGGAATGATCTTGTATTCGGTAGAAGCGAGAAGTACGAAGGAGAAGGATAGAGAAAACGGGATGTTTCTTGGTGATACGATATAAGAGGATCCTGAGGGGAAGCAGTTTGTCGGTTCTTCCAGAGCACACTGTGAAGATGGAACATAATCCACAACATGCTAGTTTCGATCAATTGATAAAGGACTCTCCTTTACGACGATCAGTCTTTATAGAGTAGGCTGCTATTCTGAGTCGCTAGACGGTGAGTTAGCTAGTTGAATGGAGGGTGTTATTCTGTGTTTCATTCTGGTTTGTGTTACTGCACACACTGTTTTGGAAGATGCCTGGAAGATGTCTTATCCAAAACACAAAAACACAAAACACAAATCGCTCTCTTTGTTGTTCCTGCTCTTTCTCCTTTCCTCTCTCTTCTTCCCCCTTTCGATCATTTTTCTCCTTTAATTATTGTAGAAGAGGGCGAAAGCACCCTTCCTAGGCGCTAAAAAGTCTGAATCAAATCATCTAGTTATGCACAGTCTACACAAACCTTCCGAAAACTCAAGGCACACTGATTTTCTCGCAGATTCTGAAGCAAATCACTGTTTTTTCTTTGAAAGCTGTTTCGTGCTGGATAAAACTAGCAAGATGAGCAGGAGATTAAAACCAAGAGAACCAACACCAGATGAGGAGTTCTCAGATATGTAACTAGAGAAATTCGACAGATAGAAGTTATGTATGCGCACCCTTTAGGAGATTATTCGACGTACTTTCTGACTCTCACTCGGTGCCTGACATTGATGTTACGTATTTCTATTTTACGTCTTGACAATCTATGCTGATGCAGCGAAACGCCTTAGTTTGAGACCTTGCACCTCTATACGCCCGCTGGTCACGTAGTGAAGACAATTCCGCCGCCTCAATAGACTTTTTCTTCGCACCAGGAACAATGTGCTAGGTTGGCAGTCCTGCATTGGACACTAGATCATCGATATGATGTTCCGGCTCTCTGAAATTCAGATCATCTCGCTGGCTCGAGCCCTCCACCGAGACTCCTGGATGTGAGAGTCTCCGTGAACCTCGCGGCAGATTTTCCCCTGGTCCGCGGATCCATGCTTCTGTCTTGTCTTCAAAATGGCTCAGGTAGAGTTCGTCAGTGTTTTATTACCGATTTTCTGTCATTAGAAATTAGAGATAGCGAGGCAAGAGGGCGAGACCGAACAGGATGCAAAAATTCGATTGGCTGCTGTAGTTTTAGGTAGTTCGCCCAGTTTGACTTTGCGAATTAACAGGCCACAGGATGTGGAATTGAGATGGGTTGCGAGGTGGATTTGTGTGGATATGAAGAACCCGGGGCCCTTCTAGGTGCTCGTTGTGAAAGAAAATGTTGCGATTATTATTCCCGTCGCTCTTTCTCGTGTTTGGCACTTCATTGATGAGGAGCGACTAACTTGGGACCGGTAATTTAATCCATAACTATATGAATAAAGATGCTCTTTCTTGAAAATCGTATATAACTCTTAGAATTCTTGCAATTCTCCAGGTTAAAGGATTGAAGCGGGAGGAACAAAGTTGAGAGCTCCTCGAAAAGGGGTTGTCCACTAAACTGATACCCCTCATCTACGATCAACAACATTCCCTTCTTCACCATTCTAGATATTCCATACCACTACAGTACACCTCGGATGTGAGACGAATCTACTGGACATCTCTTATCAGGAGAGATCACAAAAAGGAAAGTATGTGATCAAAAAATTCCGCATGCATCTTTATGTGTGATGTCTACTGAGGTTCCCCGCGGGGGGAGGGGGTAAATTTTTAGTGAAATAGTGAATTTGATCGATCAAATACCTAGGTAGGTATACTTGTAAGCACGGAATGAATCCATAAACAATAGTAGTTTCTGTTTAGTCGAAAGGAGAATGGGGTGTATAGCAAATGAATGAATTTGGATATACACCTTAGTGGTGGGGGTAATCTAGCCAAGCCACAACTCCCAGTCTAGCGACATCTCCAGATTCCATTACAATGTGTCGGCCAGCTTTCAGCCACAACCTTGAGTAGCAACGGTGAAGACGTCAAGATACCACCATAATTGGAAAATGCGAATACATTCACTAACGCCCTTAATTCCATGAATCATTGTCCCACTCTCGCGACAACACGCGAACTTAACCCACGATGTCGAATTTCCGGCGCGCCCCAGTTGGGGGTAACAATCGAAACAGCATCCTAAGTTCTTTGAGAGCTACCGAAATGGTCGGCAGCAACGGTAGCAAGGCTGTTCTGCCTGCTGAAATAATATCTACGATTCTCGACTACCTTCCGATTCCAGATCTCATGAGCTTTGCGCGCACATCGAAACGAATGCAAGAAATGGTATATGAGGATTCGCGATGGGTATCGAGACTGAAATCTATGGGTGTGTGGAACGAAGGAGAAGCTAGGAAAAGATTCGAAGAAATACTGAGGAAAAAGCGAGAGATGGTGCGAGTAAGGGCAGAAGAGGATTCTAAAAGAATTGGGATTGGTGTTGGTGTTGGTGGAGCTGGGGGAGGAAATGGGAATGTTGTTGGAATGAGGAAAACTAGCACGACGTTATTCGATGCGGGAGAGGAAGAGTTACGACAGCAGCGGAGATCGGCAGAATTTGCTTCGAAGAATCTTAGAGGCCTTCCGGATGGATTCGAGACGTTGTCAATATCAGCGCAAGGTCATATGAGTCTACCACCCCCACCACGAACTCGAACGCCTATGCAAGATCCGGAAGCTTTGTTGAACGTATTTGCGGAAGCTAGATCAATACGTGGGTCTGCGAGGCATGAATACGGGAAAATATATGCAGCACTAGGACCTTTCTACTACGATTTGGCTAGATCTAGGAGTCATGTTGATCCAGTTTTATTTCGAGTTTACAGAACACCAGAACAACAGGCACAAATGCTAGCTCATCTACAAGTGTTCTCGCGGAGTGATTGGGCTCAAGGATGGAGACAACGAGAGGAAAGGTTAATCACTATGACGGGCATATTTGAGACTGCAGTACTGAGAGAATTCGAGCAGGGTTACGAGGTGTGGGATATTGACGGTAGAATGCGGCGGTATGCTCATGTGTTGGGTGTACTAAATGGGGGACATGCTGGTATAGAATTATTCGTTCAGAAACACCCAGTATTCTCCGACCGCGATTTTCTTGGTAACTCAATGGATTGTATCAACCAAGCAGCTTCTGAAGGCATAGCGCTTGAGCCGTCAAGGGCGTTTCTGGAAAAGCTTTCCAAGAAAGTGAATGAACAAGCAGATATAATCGATCGGGTTTTCCCACCAGGGGAGGATGTTTTACAGATCTTTTTGGATAAAATAGCAGAGGATATTCTTATGGAATACGTTACTCCTTTATTCGATGAATCTCACGAAAGAAGCATTGCATCTTATCTACAAGCGGTTTCTGGTATCTTTGAACAAAGTATGCAATTTGCATCTACACTCAGGTCCACCAGAAATTCAGGAAAAGACTTTTTCGATAAAGTTAAAGCTGTTATAGCGCGAGTGTTTGAACCTCACGTAGATCTCTACCTGTCAGAAGAGCTTGATCACTTTAAAAGACACGCCGAATCAGAAGTAGGAGAGTGGGAGACGAAACTCTCGGCTCAAGATGCATCAAAAGAATCATTCTTTATGGGCAATATCAATCGTGTGGCAGATAAGAAGGATTTCATGAGTTCGTTCAAAAAAGTTGTTATGATGCCTGTCAATGTTTTACCTACAATGTCTCCATTTGGTGCGACTAAGCCTGTAGTAGCGCCGCAGGCAGGGAGTCGATCAAGCTTGCAGGTACTTAGTGCGAGTCAGTCACCAGTACCTTCTCGTTCACCCACTCCATCATTACCACCAGGTGCAATATCGGTTCCACTACCGACCGAAGCACCAACAGATGAACTTGCAGCCAAAGCAGCTTTGATGGCCTCTAGGTTGGAAGGAATTCGATCACTCTTCAGCATTGAAGTGGCTCTAGACCTTACGCATTCTGCAAAAGCTAGTATTGAACGTGCAGCTCTTTTCGTCCGACTAGGAGGTCAAACGGGAGAAGAAGCTCGAGAACAGTGCGAGGCAATATTCGTAGTATTATTGCAAATTCTTGGAACTAGACACGTCAAAACAGGGTTTGATAAAGCTGTGGATCATCTCTCTAAATACAACCCTCGTGAGATCAGCGAGCACCAACAGGGTGTAGTGGTGCCTCTAATGACATTCCTGGAGCTTGTCAATGTTGGAGACTTGATCTCCCAGATGATCGATGTCTTCTACGAACAGCAACTTGCAACTACTAAACTTGCTGATCGGAATGATTTTCTCGATCCCGCCGTCAAAGCCAAGAAAAAATTTGAACAGATGCTGGATGAGAGAGTCGCAGCCGGCTTGAATAAAGGTATTGATGTCCTAATGGACGAAGTCGAATATATTTGCGGCACCACCCAGCTTCCCACTGACTACAATCCACCCGAATTCGATGCCACTGGTGCAAACTCAGATATTGATATCGGACCAACTTCCACCGCCGTGCAAGTCGTCGCTCTGGTAGAATCCCACACTAAAATGCTCACTGGAAGTACCGACAAAACAATGCTCGACGTCTTCAATCAAGAAGTAGGACTCCGTCTCTTCACCGCCGTCTGCAAACATCTCAAACGACAGCGTATCTCCACCTCTGGAGCTATCAAACTCATCTCCGATATGAATATATACTTTGTGTACATCAAGACTCTGAGGAATGCAGACTTACTGCAGTATTTCAAGGCATTAAGAGAATTGAGTCAGATTTATTTGATCAGTCCAAATCACGCCAAGGAAATGGCGACGGTTATTGCTGATGGTGATAGATTCGGGGGTATCTTCAGGGCGGAGGAGGTTTACGAGTTTGCGGAGAGGAGAGCCGATTGGTATACGGTTAAGAAAGACGTTGAGAGGGCTATGTATGGAATTGGATGTGGAGTTATGTGAGATATAGGTTAGTGGGGGAAAAAAGAAAATATTAGCACGGCGTACATAGAGACTTTATGAGATATGAATGAATGTGTCTCTCTGAGACCAATGAATATGATGGAATAAATTTCATTGTTATTATAATGACTATATAGTTTCCACTCTTGCGCTGTTCCAGTAGATTCAGTACTTTCTGTAGCTGGTTCTGGGAGAAGAACGAATGCAGCATCAAATGCAACTTCTTTGTACTCAGATCTAGTACCACCAGCGAGAGCAAGAGGTGCACGTCTGTTCTCTATTGAGGTCTAATCTTTCGATAGAAGCTTCACGAACAGGCTCTCTTGCCTCCTTGTCTGCAAAGTCCACTTTCCAATCCTCCTTGACGCCTCATCCTTGACGCCAGGTGACAATATACGCCGCGTAATGTTTGGTGACCCAAAAACTTTACCTCATAGAAGAAAAATCCAACTTCCTCGCTACCTTACTCGTCCGATCATCATCTACTAGTCCTGGTCTCCTCTTCAAATCCTCTCCCATCTTTTCCTCGCCACCTCTCTTCTTTGGAAGATCTTGATTTTTTGTAGGTTTAGGATCTGATGCCCACCAAGGATGTTCTAAAACCTGCCTCGCCGTGATTCTTTTACTGGGATCCAGTATCAACATGTTCATTAACAAATCTACTCCCTCCGGCCCAGCTGTTCCAAACATGCCCAAATAGTTTTCTCGTGGAGCTACTGGGTTTGGTGGGTCGGGCACTGTGTATTCTGGTAATTTGGTGACTCCCGGCCAATTATCTTCAGTTGGTGTACCGATAGCTTGACAGATTAGAGAGACCTGATGAACCTCAGTTTCACCACCTAGAAATGGAATTCTTAAAAGCATTTCGGCAAATACAAGTCCGACTGACCAGATATCCACAGCGCCGGAATAATGCCTGGCGCCGAACAACAGCTCAGGTGGTCGATACCAACGTGTGATAACATTCGATGTCATAGTTCGCTGGGGATCTGCGAAATTTCTCGCCAAACCAAAATCTGCAAGTTTGACCTCTCCGTCTGCGGCAATCAACAAATTGTTTGGTTTGATATCGCGGTGTAGAACGAAGTTTTCGTGACAAAACCAGATGGCTCGACTGAGCATGCCCATCCAAGCTTTTATATCGGCCGCACCGTACCGTACGCCATCAACGTCTTTGATCAACATTTCAAGATCCCCGAGGGGTAAGAATTCGAGGACGAGGTTCAGGTTTTGGTCTTTAGAAGAGAATACTGAGAGGAGAGATATTACATTAGGGTGGGAGATTTCTTGGAGGTGCTTCAATTCGCGGATGGCATCGGGTGCCATTCCCTCTGTGTATTCTTTTTGTATTTTAATTTTTTTGATAGCGACGAGAACCTTGGGATCGGTCCTCAGGTGGCCCAGATAAACGTTGGCATATGTTCCCTCTCCGAGCTTCTTGCCTAAGACGAGAAGTGGTTAGCTATGTTACGAGTTAACAATGTCATGCCATAAAATAGATACCTTTGACATATTTAGATCTCTCATTTTCGTTCATCTGCTCTGCTAAATCATAAGTCGTGCCGGCACTTGCAGCTGGACCATCAGAAGGTGTCCCATTGCCACTGGGGACGGCGCTTGAGAGCTTCGATCTGCTTGCACTTCTCTCGCCAGAGCCCGCTGATGGGACAATGAGAGGTGAAACTGCCATATTGAATCGGGGCGGCAATTGACGATGCTAGCGCAGCATATTCCGAGTCTTGGAATTGTGTCGTTTTGTTCTATAGACGGTTTGTCGAGTATTAAGCTTAGATTGAAGCATAAGGCTTTGATGCACATTTCGGGGTTGACAAGGCTGAGATCTTGAAGTCCTAGCGCCAATTGATTATGTAATCATAAGCTTTTCTCATAAAGATGGCTTCGGGGACCTATCCAGTGATCTTTTTGTCATTCTGATGCGAGCTGTTCATCTACCAACTGTAAACATTTTTCATCTTAATTGTACATGGCCATATAAGTTTATGTGCGTTATGTAACTAACGATTTCATATTGTCGTTCGCCGGTCTATTGGCCCGTGAAGGCAAGAGCGAATGGGCTACGATTTCGAGCCTTATAAGATTGTCTTCCAAATGGAATCCATTGCTCTTTCTATGTTGAACGTTCATTCTCTTTCAAAACACTATAAGTAAAGTGTCTTCTCACTGAAAGGAGTCATCATCACAATCTATTATTGCTACCCAAACCCACATACTTTACACTGATTTTTGTTGGGAGTTATGTGACGTCGATTGGTTTGATTTCTCTGTTAGTTTATGAATACCTTCTTGCGCTTCTGCTTAAAGTATCGACAATTCTAAGTATTGTACCCCCCTCGTCCATCATGTGGCAGGTATTTTCATATTGGGTTTGCTTTCCTATCAGAACTTGCTCTTCGCTCGATGTCTGACAACAGCTAGATGATTCCAACGGCCTCAGCTATCATCTGGTTTACCACACTCAATGCCCTGCTTGGAGCCTTTATCGTCTTTCCGCCTCGTGATCATCTTAACTCTACTATACCAGCCCGACCACCTTATCCATCAATGGCTTCCCAATTTCATTCAGTACCATACGTATCAGACATCGGAGCTACCAAAGAAATGCAGCCAATATTTATAATAGGTTGTGTCCTGACCACTTTCTTGCTCGCAGGATGTTTTGTTGCAGAACGCACACTTCGTCATAAAGGTCGTCTTGCAAGGAACACAGATAAAACAGAGAGAGTGGTGGCTTATCTGAGCATTGTGTCGGCTGTAGTTGGATCCGTGGGCTTGATCTTCCTGAGCATATTCGATGTTTTCAGGTTTAGAACTATACACAACATAATGGTGGGGTTATTCATTTCTGGATATGCTTTTAGTGCGTTTTGCCAATTTTGGGAACATTATCGCATGGGGTGTAGTATGTCTCCTCTTTTTTTTCTCTATTTCATACATAATCTGACATAAACCAGAATATCGAGACACGCATGCGAACTTGATGGTTTCAGCTTACACGAAACTCGTTTTTCTTGCTCTGGAAGGTATTCTCGGATTGGCATACTGGTACGTCTTCATAGCAAAGAACTGGGATGCGGGTGCTGCTATCGAATGGGCCGTGTCCTACGTCTTCTGTTTTTACATTCTTTCATATCTTTTTGATTTTCTCCCGGCATTGAGTACGAAAGACAAGGACTGCAGATTTGGGGTTTATACCGAAGAATGTATGGTTCAGGTGAATGGTCGCAGGAAGCAAGCTGTTGTACAAAAGTTCAGGGGAGTTGCACCAGGATGAGAAGAAGTTGAAGACTTTAGTTGTGCATATTATTCTAGCAATTAGAATCGACCATGACCCCGCCAAGGCAACAGACAAAGACTCGGAAAAAAAATTAAGTAGGCCTTTAACAAATGCAAGCATTCAACACATATATCCATTGACATCCTGTGCTAACCCATATTCTCTCGACCAAAAAAGCAACCCTCAAGCAAACGTATTATCATCTTCTCAGCCCACATATGTAATAATCATCTCCCTTTCTGGTTCTCCTTTATTGTCGCATTATAACTCGCTGGCTTGTTCTTCTTTACAGTCATTCTCGCCGCCTGAAATCTCACAAAGCAACCTGCTACCACTTGCTCTTTAGTTTTATCTGTGTCCACCAAGCCTGTTTCGATCAACTCCCTAACAAACATTTCAACATCTTCGAATTCATTCCAATCGTTCAGAAACCTGTCCGGTATTCCCGTGTTGTTGAATAAAGCTATCAAGCCGGCGTTGACTGTGTTTGCAGCCGCTAATATAGTTATCGCAAGTCCATGTTTTGCGGCAGAGGAAGATCCGAGAGCAGTCAATACAGCTCCAAAAAGGAGTTGAAGGATTAATGCAAGACTGTAAAAGGTACTGGAGAGATAATACGCCAGTTGGCTCTTCTGACGTTTTCGCACAATATCTTTATAAAGACCGTTAGGCAAGTGCCGATGTGAGAAGAGAGGAGAACCAGAAGCTATTTCAACTGGCTGCGATGGGTTGTCTTTGCGCGTAGCGCCGATGGATCGTAAGACACCTATGTATTCGGCTTCGGAGAGGGTACAAAGGGGTGGGAGCACATATTGTGTTTCTACTTGGCCGAGAGCATCGACATCTTGTGGTGTAGGTGTTGGACTTCGCGAAGGCGTTGAGTCAAGGTTAAGTTTGTCCACTGGGATAGTGGAAGTCATGGCGGAAGACATATTGATAGAGTGTATATTGTTAGAATTTTTGAGTGGATTGAAGCAAGAATCGATCGAAAGATTGCTAATAGATGACACTGATTGCAACTGACCAGGTTAGGTACAAGATCAATGAGAAGAACGGAAATTAAATCTGAACTATATCGCATGAGAATTTCTATAGAACAAGACAAGGAACGGATCCTTCTGGGAATTTTCTACCTTTATACTTCTCAGTGGCAGCTTTCTCCCCCAACTTACACAAAACGCCCCATGTTCCATTCCCTCAGTACGTGAGTGCAACTCAAGTCAGTCTTTTCTCGATACCATCACTTTCGCAATCCAACACACCTTGTCAGCGCCTCCTAAGTCAAGTCAGGCTGTGTATAGGCGTTAGGTCAGTGAGGCTCCCTGTTCTCGCGCAATGTGTAAATGTATGGGTCAAGGATGGTATGACAAAAACGTAAAAGAGGTGCGTGAACTCGACACGCCACCTTTGTGCACCGAATGTAGCCTTACAGAGCTTAAAGATTACTTTATTCACATGGAAGGAATCATTGACAAGATTATTATCCTAGTATCATATCCTCGATACTAAACATGGTACTCCTTTCTGGCTTTCAGGAGATTGGTCGAATACGAAGAATATAGATTGACTTGAGCATCTTTTACTATTGGGGTAGATCGGGATGAGATGAGATCATCCAGTATACATGGATGTGTGTGATTGAGTCAGATATGTAGGTACATTGATCTCACCCTGGGTGGCAACCCTAGTCATCGAACAAGCATCTGCAGACTAGAACCTCCACGAGTTCATGAATAAGCCTTTTCTATAAACACTTTCTACAATCAGCCTTTGATAGCTGGTACAAAAATTACCTGTCGAGTCTTCGCAAATGATAGCATGAGCGGCTGTGTCTTACTACACTTTGTAACACCAATCGGTGAGAGTATCGAATAATTACTTGCATCTGAAACAAAAGGGGAAGGCAGCCCTATCGCTTATTTCTTCAAGGAGGTGGAGGATACGATTTCATTGGTGATGCTACGTATTGGTGGCTTATTGTCAGAAATCTTACTCTATCAATCCCCTAAAATCGTGTACTTTGTCTACGTCAAATTTCACACACAATATGACTAAGAGGTAAGAAAAAAGTAGTTGCGCTTATGGCAATTGGTCATGTGGAAAGCTTGAAGGAAAAAGGAGTCGTGGTGGGCCTTAGAAATTGTTCCTATTCGTATTTCGTACATTCGATCAAGGCACAGGTGATACAAGGTATGGGGGACACGCTTTGGACTTTTTAGTTCAGCCTTGGTAACGATTGCGGCGAAGTACGGGATATTGGTTGGGGGTACGAAATGGATACGAACTATGGTTGACATTGATTCTCCTTTCTACTTGATAGTTTGATACTTTGGCCTCATTTTGGTCTTCGGGTAACGAATCTGAAATTATCTTTCTTCCGGGGACATATGCCGGGGCAAAATATATACAGCGCTTGCTTGTGTTCGCAGCCATTCAGGCGACCCAAATCGACACCAATGTTGAAGTTGCTCTGAATTTAAATCCAACCACTTGGGGTTTCAAGGTCATTTCAATCATTCTCCATGTTTGGTCATGAAATGACAACGTCGAGATGATGACTTAAAATGGGTGTTTGAAATACTAATACTGCCATTGACTATGCCTTAAGTCAATGTTTGCGCTATTGCTCGAATAGGGACTTCTTAACCCTTTATCGATCGCTTTCAAGAATTGGGTGCAAGTGCCACAGAAATATCGCATAGAGTCACTAACCTCCCACTCCGGTTCGCACCGTCGTTCACAAGAATGCATTGAAGTCTGAGACGAGAAAATTGTCGAATGAACATATCCAATATGCCGCGAGATAGCTCTCAATTCGGTTACAAAACGTGACATATTTCTGTGAATTTAAGATACATGTTTCACATACTGTAGCTAGCAACGACTTCAAGACCAGAGACTTATTAAAATCCCTCACTTAGAGCCCATTCTTCTTCAGAAAATCTACAATAACCTGGAAGCCGCCCGTCGCATTATACTGTTATTAGGCAAATGTCAATTAATGTCAATCAAAACATCCCAACACCTTGATAGTGAGAACTTTCACAGCCAATAAACTCAACTACACAATGGAGTTACAGGAGAGGGGGGAACTTACAGCTAAATTCAAACTGTGAGCTGCACCTGGCTGAACATGACTCTGAAATCCTTTGGAGTTAGGAAATGCTTCTCTAGCCGACGGCCCCAAAATGCCTTGGCAGTTGCCTCCACAGTTTATATAATCGTATTCGCCGCTTTGTATTTAAGAAAGTCAGTCTATAAACTTGAGGTATGACAAAATTCGTTCAGGGATCGATAACATGATAGAATACATACGCCATGACCAGCACCGGGTTTTTAAAAGCTTTCGCATTCAGATCGACCAGAGGCACTGTCGCGCTTCCCATTATAGCTTGTGGATATCGATGCTCTGTGCTGTATGAATCTGTAAGGTTCGTATCATAATATCCTTTTCTATAGAACCTATATCAAATTCTCGTAAGCATTTCTCGACCTTG